CGCACGCCATGCCGCCGAAGAAGTACGTGATGCCCCGCGCCGCGACGGATCCCACATCCCTCGTCATCGCCCAGCCGAAGCAAAGGACGCCGAGGGCGCCGCCGTCCAAGCCCCCGGGCATGACCAACGCCGACTGAAAGGCGGATGTGCAGCGCCGGGAGGCCGTCACCACCGATAGGCGCAACAGGGCCAAGAAGGCCAGGGAGAGAGTGGCGCACGTGGCGGCCGCAGCAGCGGCGGAGCAGGTGGAGCGCGCGGCGGCCGAACAAGCCGAGGCGGCGCGCGCGGCGATGATGAATCCACCCGGTGGGCACGGCCCGCACGCGGCCTAGAGCAAACAAAGCGTCGGCTCTCCGGCCGGGTTCTCGTCGTCGCCACACCCATGGAGCACGCCGTCGCCGGGCTATGCCGATGGCGACGCCCACGGTGGTTTCAACCCCAACATCACCTTCCCCCATGGGCGCCCAGTCCAGCGTACGCCTTCGCCCGCGTTCGCTGGCGTGCAGTACCCCCGTACATGTACTCGCCGCCGGACTACGCGGCCTCACCGACGCCACCTCTCCGTCGCGGACTCTACTCCCAAGCCTCCTCCTCGTCGCATCTTGGGGACGCCGACGCAACGGAGGCCGACATGAAAGACATCATCGTAGCCGGCTCGGCTGCCACCGCCACTTCCCTCGGGTTCACTACCCAAGACGGCTCGTTTGATCTCGGCGACATGGATGACGAGATCGACTACGGCGAGGAAGAGCCGGAGGAGGAGGAAGAATAGGAGGAGGAGCCGGTGCCGATGAGGAAAGGAAAGAAGAAGAAGAAGATGGCGGCCAAGACCGGCGAGCCGCACATCAAGTGGGCGTCCAAGGAAGAGGAGTGCCTCGTCGAAGCGTGGAAGGTCGTCTGCCTCAACCCGGTCACCGGCACAAACCAGAACATCGAGACGTATTGGGCCCGCATCAAGGCCGAGTTCGACGAGCGCAAGCTCGTCGACCCCTACTTCAAAGGCGTCCACATGAAGCGTGGGTCGAAGGCGATGGCGAACCATTGGGGGCTCATCCAAACGGGCGTGCAACAAATGGCATGGGATTGTCGAGGAGGTCGCGGCTCGCCCAAAGAGTGGCACCGGCGTCGAGGATCAAGTATAGCACGCCGTCCTCACCCTATTGCTTTCGCCGTGTGCACGCCCATGCGCGCGCTAGCGCCGACTGATGTTCTTTCCTCGGCGCAGCTGCTACGCATGTTCGCCATGTTCCGCAATGACAACAGCGACCAAGAGTTCAAGTACCTCCACGTCTTCAAGCGGATCGACAAGTGCGAGAAGTGGGCGGCTGTCCGGCGCACCCTCGCCAAGGCCAAGGAGGTGTACAAGCCGGATGCGCCGACCCCAGACGCGGCCGACGGGCGCCCGGACGACAACAAAGGGGCCAAGAAGGCGAAACACGCCAAGTCGGCTGCCGCACGAGTGCAAGAGTCCATCGAGCACTGCCTCGCCGACGCCAAGACCAGGGCCGCCCAGCGAGAAGAGAAACTGAGGCGAGGTGGGCTGCTTTGATGATGAACAGCATCGTCAAACTCGACTTGCTCCGGTCCAACGTCGCCGCGAAGAAGAGGAACAACGACCTGGCTTTCTTGATGGGCGGCGCCGACATGCTCCAGAGCGGCGACGAGAAGCTCAAGGCGTGGTTCTTGGCGGAGCGAGGCCTCATCCTGAACCAGATACCGGTGACGCCAACGCCGACGCCAACGCCACCGCTGCCGCCCAGCCCGACTGATGACGATGCCCCCGCGACGCCCAGCAGCACAGAAGCCGCGCTGACCAGTCCGGAAGCCGCGTCGACTCCTCCCAGCCCGCATACGCCGACGACGACGCCGGAGGTCGAACTCGACGTTTGATGCATTCCTTTCGCGTCCTTTGTGCGCCGAACTACTGCCTATCCTTTCATTTGATCGCCGAACTGTGGCGCCGAATCGCCGAACTATTGCGATGATCGCCGGATTGTGGCTTTTTTTTGAGCGGGAACGATCAAGTTTGAATATGGGGCGCCTTGGGGGCAGCACCTACGGGCGTGGCTGGGGAGAATCGAACCCCAGGGGCCAATCTAGCGCCGGTTCGCCCCTAGGCCGCTCTTTTTCGACGCCATGGGGGCCGAATGGCTGTAGATGCTCTAAGGGACGCTTGACTTTAAGAGTACAACAGGAAGACATACAAGTATTAATTGCTAAAGATTCCGCAAACATAAAAAGCTACTCAGGGGGTGTTTGGTTCAGGGACTTTTTAGTCCCAGAGACTAGAAAAAGTCCCTAAAAAGTCCCTAGGAACTAAATGGAAGGGACTTTTCTATAGGGACTAGAAAAAGACTCTACTGGATAGTCTTTTTTGATTAGTCTCTGGGACTAGAAAAAATCCTAGGACTTCTGAACCAAACACCCCCTCGATAACAGGCATGGATAATCTAATATTGACCATAAATGCACTCGCATAAACAGTAAACTACAAAAAGAAAGTAAAAAAATATCTGAATTTTTGGTGGATAAACAAACAAAATTTCTAACATCCTGCATAATTTCACCTTGAAGTGACATCCATGGAGGCCTGTACATAAAAAACAAAATTCAAGGCTCAAAAAGACACATTTTGGAGCACACATTTTTTTTGACACGCACCTCTACAAATGTATTTTGGTGGAGAAATTTTGTCATATGTTGGAAAACTTGTTGATATTCATTCAAAAAAATCAACAACAACAACAAAGCCTTTAGTCCCAAACAAGTTGGGGTAGGCTAGAGGTGAAACTCATAAAATCTCACGACCAACTCATGGCTTCATTAAAAAAATCATGTCTTTTAATATATTTGTGCATGAGATTAGAGCAACACTTTCGCTCAATAATACCTACTCCCTCCGTTCCTAAATATTTGTCTCTCTAGAGATTTCAACAAGTGACTACATACGAAGCAAAATGAGTGAATCTACACTCTAAAATATGTCTACATACATCAATATGTGATAGTTCATTTGAAATCTCTAGACAGTCAAATATTTAGGAACGGAGGGAGTAGTTAACACGTGACGCGTTTTTACTGTTATCTCTAACAATAGTACATATCATTATATAACGATGGAAATCTATAAAAAAAACAGATAACTTCACAATTTCTTGGAGTGGGCAGAACATAGAAAAACATGGGTTCCCAAGTCCCAACACATCTTATTTCACTTGGAATTTGTCGCGCCGCTTGTGCGCTGTCACACTCCTTATCCTCTGAAACGGTAGTGCTTACCCAAACTGTGTGGCCGGTCTCGAAACCGCTACGCTACACCGGCAAAGCTGACTCTCCAGCAGGGAGGCAGACACCGTGTACGCCGCTCGTCTCCATGGAGGCAGTCGCCAGAGCAAGCATCGCGGCAAGCTCGCACGCGCGGGTTCCCCTGTGCCGGCGCCCGCGGCCGCACCGCGCCGCGCGGTGTCTCGGGGGACGACGTTCGGTGGCCTGCGCGGCCGCCGCCGACGCCGATGTCGTCCGCCTCTTCGATGCCGCCAAGCTCACGGTAATAAGGGAGAGCACTCGCTGACGCTTCCGCCCGCCGGCATCCAACATGGCTTCCTCTGAATGCCGAGACAATTATCTCGTGTGTTATGCGGCATTGATTCAGGTGGACGAGTTTGTGAAGAGCGGCATGGTGGTCGGGCTCGGCTCCGGCGCCGCGTCGGGGCTCGCTGTCCAGTACCTCGGCACGCGCCTCCGGCGAGGCTCGCTGACCGGCATTGTCGGCATACCCTCGTAAGCGTTCCAATTGCTTCACTGCCAATCCGTGGTTCATCTGTGCCACATGAGCTTTACTTGCATCCTGAACATCTGAAATCCCTCATGCATTCGCTCAGTTCGATCATCGGTTGCGTCTAATCGGTTGTTGGGGTTGATCAGCCAGGTCTGTGATCTGTGCAAGTGAGGCGGAGAAAGCAGGGATAAAGGTCGGCAGCCACGAGGAAGGCGCCCAAGTAAGCTCTATTCTGCTGTCACCATTGTAAATCTTGCAGGCAAGAAATAAGAGAATTTTGGCTGAAACCATGCTCACTGACGTATAGATTGATTTTGCTTTCACTGATGCTGATGTAATTGAAGAGGGCACACTCGCTGCTATCATCGGGCGCGGGAAAACTGAAAGCGGGCAGCCTTCTTTCATACAAGAGAAGGTTAGCACAACTCTTCAGAAACTTGTTAAGCCAGCTCTTCAGAAACCAATTATTAACCATTTCATTCAGGCTGCCTGACTCGTGTCTAAATCGTCATGTGTCCATTTGTTTCCTGAAAAAATGAAAAAGTATGCAGCATAGTAAGTTCATCAAAATGGAATTAGCGTTGTTCTGATAAAAATAAATGTGATGTAATTATTTGCTTCCATTCACTTCGGATACTTTCGTTGTGCCAGTTATATGGTTATCTCATCTTCCTATACGCAACTCTTGATTGGTCTGGATCCCCAGGGTATTGTTGAATCGGCTGACAAGGTTGCTTTTATCATTGACAACGACAAATATGTGAATGGCATCGAGGGATCCATTCCAGTTTTGGTCAAAAGTGTAAGCAATCTCTACCTCCTGCCACCATAGATCAGATCAGTTCTATGTAATGTTCGTTAAGAGAGGGGCAGATCATTTCAGGGAAACTGGATCGACACCGCTGAAGAGATTGATGATTTGTTCCTAGGCGATGCAGAGGTGCACAGCTTATCAATCTCTTAATAATTTCTAAAATTTCATACTCTGAGCAGCTAATGGATTTCTGAACCTGAAACCTGTCCGTGCCCCGCCGACCCGGCAAAAAGAGAACCCTTTTGACTGATAAACATGGTGTGATTGCCTGAAGGTTTGGAGGAGGCCATCAATTGGAACTGCCGGTCCATCAGGAGGCGACTTCCCACTGGTAACCAAAGAGGGCCATCACATACTTGATGTTATCTTCACAACCCCAATCCAGGATCTTGGTATGTGTGTAAATGGAAGCCTGTTACCCCTCGGAGGATCTAAATTCAACATGATAAATCAGAAACTATTTCTCCAGTGGAGTTTTTAGCTGGTTCCTTTGGTCACCGTGCAGGAAAGGTAGCAGAAGGCTTGGAGAAAATCGTTGGCGTTGTGGACCATGGGATAATTTGCAACACTACGTAAGTTTCTCAACCTAAGTAATTTCTATAACAAAATCCAGTTTTTAACCAGCATGCTTCAAAAACAAACAAACAAACAAAAAGCTATTAGACCACAAAGCAAACAACTCATATGGAGCTACACGCTGCAGTGTCTAAGATATTACAATCTGTTACATGCAGGCCGTATGCCGTAATTGCGTCGAAAGGGGAAGTTCAGGTCTTGGATCGGAAGTCATCGGTGATACCAAACACATAAATCTACAATTGAGTTGCAGAGCAACCATTTCGACCGGAGAATCTATTGCGAGTTGGCTGGAGAAAAAAAATGCAACGAGTCAAATCGTGCGATAGCTATTTTTTGTGCCGTCCGACGTCGCTGTCGGTAAAATTCTGTGTGGCATGTCCAAGGTTTTCCCCTAGGGATGTATGAATATGATCTCCAGATGTGTGCAGCTACTGACTCTGCTAGCACTCTGAAGAATCTGAATCACATGTTTATATAAGTTGGCCATGTGATGGCATCTTTTCCAGCTGAACCTCTACGCTTTCACTGTTCACTACTGCTGTGCGTTGCGTATTGCAATGGACCATCTCTGACCCAGCCGTGCACACAAAGGAGTGCATGGCTGCGATCAACCATGGCTAACTAAGCCTGGGGACTTAAACTTGGAACCCACGCTTAGTCCTTTTAGGTTATTATTATATATCGCAGCTCAGAGGCTAACTAAGCCTGGGGACTGAAAACAATTAAACAAAAGTGACCAGCGAAGAGACCAAACGCGTTCCACTTCCACCAAAATTTCAACTCTTCTAGAAAAAAAATCTACTCAGGTTTCAACTAACCTTGTACTACCGGTCAACGGTCCATACGACCCGGTCGGTTCAAACGAGGTCACCAACCGACGCCCTCCGCGACCAGCCAAGATGATGCGATACCTTGCGTACTGCTGCTGCTGCTGCTACTAATACACCCTGGACGGCTCTATTCTGTTCCCACCCAAGTACTCCTTGGAGCAGGGGAAAGCTAGAAGAGAAAGGAACAAGCATGGCGTCGGAGATGCTGCTCAGGAGGATCCATTCCATCTGCCGTCTCGCAGGAGGCGACCGCCGGCCGCAGCTGTTCAGCCGCGGGGAGGGGCTCCGCCGTCCGGTTTCTCCGGCGAGCCATCCATCATTCTGCAGCGTCTCGTGTGAGCAAGCCGGCGCGGGCAGCGCAAGCAAGGTTCGCCCTTCTTTACTTTACCCACAAATTTCTCCCAGGAATGGATGGATGCAGGGTCTCTTCCTGCAACTTGGCTCATGGGCAAAGCAATGGATGCTCATGGACCCATTTCTCCGCCAAATCAACATGTTTTTATAACGGCTGAAGGTTTTCTTGGTCTGAGCGAATAAATGCTAGATTGTTCAGCGTTTTATTTACGGTTTCAAATCGAACGATGAGGTAGCCATGAAACAAACCTAACCTGCGCATACCTCTGAGCAAATAAACAACACTGGTATTTCTGGGCGATGCTTAGCACCATGTGCCTGTTGCTTCTCTTGAAGAGTTCGTCCATTTATCGATGCCTTTTGCTGGTAATGGTGCAGGATCAAGATAACCTCGGCAGGTTTTCAGACCCAAAGGTTGCACATGAGGATCGCCGGTTCGTTCAATTCTTGGACAGGATGCTGGACGCCACAAGAAATCCCCAGAGCCTTGCGCAGATACGGCGTGAGAAGCTTCCAAATGATCTGAAAATATTGGATGATGAGATATGAGTCAAGTTCTCTTGCAGGAATATAATAAGAGTTAACAAGCGTGACTTATGACATGTAAAGTGACCTTGAGCTTAACCATGCCAAACTTGAGCATGTGAGATTGTTATTGTTCAAGTTCTAATTATGGACCAATACATCGACTGATGTCAAATGTTTTATGTATTTGAGTTAGTTTTCTGCAACTGATTCCATATCATGTATGAAGTATGAACTCACAAAAACAAATATATGGCCAACCAATTAACTACTGTTTTATAGTCTGTTCAGGAACATCTGAAGAGCAAATGTGAATTTTCATATGGATATGGTCATGAAACAATAGTATTTCTTGTCAAGATTTGAGCAGACCTATTGGATATCTCCAAGCCATACCACCCAGCATATATGGCGATCAATTCGATGATACAAGACTTGTTCGTAAGGTGTACACATAGCAGTAGGGAGAAACGATAAAATTACCCTCAGATCAGTTAAAATGATCGTCTGACTCAACAGGTCACGCACATTTCATCGTTAACCTTGTTGTGCTGCACAATCTTGTTTCATAAGCATGCCATGCTGCTGTGAAATTGTTGGAGCTCACGTGTTCTTATGGTTTTCAGTTTTCACAGGCCTGTCAACCTGCATAACTATGCTTACATAATGACAAAATTTTGTGTAGAGGGCAAAAGCGCGCAACTCAGAACCAACAGAATTGGATTTATTTATTTTTGTTCATGTCACTGGACAAAAGTGATTAACTTTTACCACAATCTACACCAATAGCTTAGATTTATCCATCCGGATAGAACTTTTAGATTTTCTTTTCACCGGAAAAAAACTTTCCAAGAAATTACACCAATAGCTTCTAGAACATTATGGCGCACAAATAGAATAATGTTGTCCAGGTTCAAGACGGAAAAGCCATACAAGTTAGCTTGCAGAACTTACACAGTCCAAGGAATTAACTGCCAGCATTGAGATTTTGACCCTTCAAAGAATTATATAAACTTTGCTGATCGGACAGCGCCTGTGTACAGGTGATACATGGCCATTTGAATTTCTGTGGAAAAGTACAGTGTTAGGAATTATAACTCGTAGTTAAACAAAAAGGAGAAAATGAGAACAGGTTTTTTCTTACAACTATCATATCTTTGCAAAGGATGATAAAAAAGTCAACCAGGAAACAAACAAAACAAAAGGGACCTGTGTTCTTGCTGCATTACGAATTGAGCGTTTAGGGTTCAGCTAATGCACAAGCAAGTCAACTCGCCACTTCTTCACATGGAAACATGGAACGTACTGCATTAGAAGATTTGCTTTGCTCTATGCAACAATTTGTACAATAACAAATTCTCCTTTTATCACCAACAGAATATCAGATTCCACTGGGCAATCAAATTGCCATTACCTGCAGTAAGAAAAGAACATTAGTATACTCTCAATTGCAATGGAGAGGACAATAGAACTAACTGCATGGAACAGTCTTCCAAATCGCCCAACCTTGCCTTCTACAGCAACATAGAAACAGAACAAAACAAGCAAGCAAATCACTAAACGACTATACCATATTAAAATGACTTTTCTGCAATCCCTTGCCAGGAGATACACAGTAACAGAGAGGCATTATATACATTATACAAGTAGGCTAACTGTACAGTTTTGGGTTTTGGTCGGCTTTGGTTTTTAGTTCTTCGAATCCTAATACAGTGGCATGCATTTGGGTGCATGTTCGAGAAGAAAAAAGGGAGATATACCAGAACGATATTTTTGACCAACCTGCGAACTATGTTAAAATTAAAGGGAAAAAATGTAATATGTCGTCACCTCATTAGCAATGACAGTATAACTGATCCTGATTCCTGTGTCTTATGAAGTTTGACATGGATGGGTCAGCAATACAGTTGTACCTTGTCCAAATAGTTCATTTTTTATCATTTTAGTTACAGAAGGTGATAAGAACAATGAAACGCAATGGTTGAACGAGGGTTTGAACTATGAAAATGCATGCTGAATAAAATAATATGCAGAGAAATCATTGCTGAACCTGGGTGGTGTTGTCTGGTTGCATGGTATAACATATGTCCGGCCTGGGAACGTAACCTTCATGTTTTAATTCTAGAAGAAGGCTCTTCAAAGACATGTAAATATCTTCAGAGTCAGGGTGGCTTTTGTCTGCTGCAACAAATAAATGGCTGGTGTTATTAACATCTACCCAGCTGTAACCAGGTATCTTCTGAACTTTCTTATCCTTCATCAATCTTCTCATTTTTGACACACCATCCCACCGTCCAGCAACAGCATTGATATTGGACATGAGCACATAATAACCTGAATTTTGAGGATCCAACTTGAATAGTTCTTGAGAAGCAACCTCTGCAAGTTCAACGTTGCGATGCACACGGCAAGCGTGGAGAAGAGCACCCCAAATGCCAGCATCCGGCTTGAAAGGCATGTCAGCAATAAATTGCATGGCTTTATCCAACTTCCCAGCCCGGCTATATAAGTCAACCATGCAAGCTAAGTGTTCCACCCGAGGTGCAATCTGATATTCCTCAGTCATGCATTTAAAAAGTCGGAGTCCTTCTTGAACCTGCCCAGCGTGAGCACAAGCAGATATCAAAGCAAGGAATGTTACATGGTCTGCGTTGAATCCTTCCTCTTGCATGCGGCATAATAAACTCACCGAATCTTCAACAAGGCCATGAGCCCCATAGGCAGAGATTATACTATTCCATGACACTTCATTCTTCTCAGGCATGAATTCAAAAACACGAAAAGCCAATTCTAAGTTCCCACATTTGCCATACATATCTATGAGAGCACTCTCAGCAAACACATCGGCTCTTATGGGACCCTTTATGATGATACCATGGATCTCCTTTCCATAATATATAGCTGGTAAGCCTGCACATGCTGATAGGATGGAAGATATAGTCACATTACTGTACTTCACTCCTTCCATACTCATTTGACAAAACAGCTCAAGAGCTTCTTCAGGTTCCCCATTCTGTGCAAAGCTTGAAATCATCGAGTTCCATGTCACCTCATCCTTAGCAGACATCTTAGAGAAGATATAATGGCTAAGGTCAAGTCTTCCGCATTTTGCATACATGTCCATTAATGAACTCTCCACATAACACCTTCCTTCATATGCATTTTTCAGAACATACCCATGGAGCTCCTGACCAAGCTTCATAGCAGCCATGCTAGCACATGCTGGCAACGTGCTAGCCACCATGATAGCATTTGGTTTGATGCCCACTTCCAAGAGGTATCGAAACATTTTCATTGCCGCTTCGCTCATCCCATTAAGAACATAACCCGAGATCATTGTGCTACCAATAACCACATCGATGGCCTTTGTAGCATCAAAGACATTCTGTGCCATCCTCACATCCCTGCACTTGAAATATATGTCCACCAAAGCACTCACCAAGAAGACATCCAAATGCACACAGTTCCTGACAATGTAGCCATGTATCTCCTTCCCCTGCTTGAAACCATTCAAATCGGTCAAAGCTGGTAACAAGCTCGCCAGTGTAACTGAATCAGGCTGAAGACCACTTTTCTGCATATCACAGAACAATCTCAGTGCATCATCGACAAGCCCGTTCTGAACGCACCCAGATATCATCCCGTTCCAGGTTACCAAATCGTCCCGTGGCATCAGGTCAAACAGCCTCCACGCATCATCCAAACACTGGCATTTGGCATACATTGACACCAACGTGTTGGCCACGGCGACCTCCGGCTCTAACCCATACTTCACCGCCAGGGTGTGCAGCTGCAACCCGGAGAGCAAGTCAGCCTCCGTGGCGCACACAGACAGAAAGCACGCCAGGGTCGCGAAGTTGGGGTTGCAGCGGGACGCCCTCATGGCTCCGAACAGCCCCACTGCGCTGGCCACGTCGCCGCCCTTGACGTACCCGTCCATCATCACGTTCCACAGGACGCAGTCCCGCTCGGCCATTCCGTCGAACACCTCGCGCGCGCCCCCGAGGAGGCCGGCGTCCGCGTACATCTTGATGAGCGCGCTCCCGACGTACATGTCGCGGTCTAGCCCGAGCGCCCGGGCGGTGCGGTGCACGAGGCGGCCGAGGGCGAGCGCGCCGAGCGCGGCGCACGACTTGACGACGTAGGGGAGGGTGTGGCCGTCGGGCCGCGGCGCCGACGAGTGGGCCCACATCTTGACGTAGAAGAGCACGGCGAAGCGGTGGTGTCCGGCCATGGTGAGCCCGCGGATGAGCCAGTTCCAGGGGAGCGCCGACGCGGCGGCGGCGCGCGGGAGCGAGGAGAAGACCGCGACGGCGTCCCGGAAGCGACGCGCCAGGACGTACATGCCGATGAGCCGCGTCTGGAGGGCGCCCTCCGGCCCGTCGGCGGCCGCGAGGAGGCCGGAGGTGACGGCGCGGGCGTGGATGCGGAGGCCCAGCGGGAGGTGCGGCGGCGCGACGCAGCCGCGGAGGAGCGCCAGCAGGCGGTACGCGCTGGGCGCGGCGGCCGTCGTTGAGGCCGCGGTCGAGAGCGCCGCGCAGAGGCGTCGCCGCGCCGGCGGCCTGAGGCGGAGGAGGACGCGGCGGCGCATGGCAGCGCCGGCGAGACGAGGCGAGGCGAGGAGGGAAAACGAGGCAGAAAATTGTGCTATGGACTTTAACGCTCACGTGCCGCTCACGTGCCATCCATCTTTCTATCGTTCTATCTCGCGCTAGTCCCTCGTGTGTGTGTCTCGCCGTACGCTCCTGCGCCGGCGGCGACTGCTCTTCTCGGCGGGCGCCCATGGCGACGATGTCCCGCACCCTCGGCCGCCGTCCATTCGTGGGGTTCACGCGGACGCCCGCCGTGCCGGCGACGACGCCCTTGCCGTTGCCCTCCTCGTGCGCCTCCTCGGCGCTCCTCCTGCGCTGGCAGCGGAGCCGGGGCGTCGTCGGCGGCGGCGGGGGCGCGCGGCGGTACTCCTCGGGCCGCAACGCGAAGATTAGCATGAGCCTCCGCGCCGGCATCGTCGGCCTGCCCAACGTCGGCAAGTCCACCCTCTTCAACGCCATTGTAAGTCACCAATTGAGCACACACAGAACCCGCTGGCTGAGAATTAAAACTACTCCTGTCCGTGAGAAGGATGTCGTCTTTCCAGAGCTCGAACTAGCCGGGAGCAATGAAATTTGCTCCTTCTATTCGTGCAATGGTTTTTCTGGTAGATGAAGCGTGCGTGTAGGACTGTAGGGGCAATGTCACTGCATTTTAAGTGTTCGATGTTTTGCCACTTAGAGATGCTGTCGTCCAAAGGTTGAAATGGTTAATATGATTGGAACATGAAGAGAGTTTTGATGAATTATTCTTGTTTCTTGTGTTATTCACGCTCACTGCATAATTTCTGTCCTTGCAACGATGACTGCATGATGGAATGGTTTTTATGTTTCGCAATGTGAGATGCAATTGGCATATACTTACTTCTCATGATAACGAAATGTGAGTTCGTTTCTGGATGTTATTAGGTTGAAAATGGGAAGGCCCAAGCTGCAAACTTTCCCTTTTGCACCATAAACCCAAACACTGGTGTCGTGGCAATTCCCGATCCTCGCTTGAACGTGCTCTCAAAATTAAGCAAGTCCAAGCAGACGGTCCCGACATACATTGAGCTTGTCGACATTGCAGGCCTAGTCAAAGGAGCAAGCAAAGGAGAGGTACCGGTTGTTCTTCGTGTTATTACTGATGCAGCACAGAACATGTCGATGAGTGTTTTTCACTAGTTTATATATGAAAATGTTTACCTGACTAGTTTATATATGAAAATGTTTACCTGGTTGTTGACTTCAGGGACTGGGAAATCAATTTCTTTCAAACATCCGTGAAGTGGATTCTATACTTCAGGTCAGTTTGCTGACTTGCATGTGTTTGTGCTCTCAGGCATTTGTCAAGTTTCTGGAAACTCAAGCTTTGCATCTTCCGCATTCCCATGTTTCTCAACTGCTGCATGCCATTCTGTTGGTGTCCTCTTATTTTGCAGAGTTTGAATCACTATAATTCTCCAATAGATGTTCCTTTATCAGTTCAGTGGTTGTAGTTGTACAATGTTGGAACACCCGATGATTACCCTTTTTTTCTGGCACTGTTATTCATTAATGGGACTTGGTCCTTGTTGTGCTGCGTTTCATTTAGTTTGAAAAACATAATAGGCTATTGGTTGTTGAGGTTCTAGGATGAACTTAGCACCAATCTTTTCTTCATTGGATTTTCAGGTTGTGCGATGTTTTGAAGATGATGATATTGTTCACGTGAATGGAAAAGTTGATCCCAAGTCAGATATTGATGTGATTAACTTAGAACTCATATTTTGTGATCTTGAACAGGTAATATAATGGGTGAGGGATTTAAGTGTGGATTTATTTATTTTGTTTATGTTCATACTTAACCAAGAATTTTGCAAAATACTGCAGATAGAGAAGAGATTGGATAAGCTTAAAAAGAGCAAAACTAAGGATCCACAAGTAAAAGTGAAGGTAAGTAAGATATTCACAAGCTCTAGCATTATTTGATAGGTTTTGTTCTTGATTCCAGATTTCATTACTCAGGAAGGAGCGGAAAGGTCAGGATTAGAAAAAATTCTGGATGCACTTATGGATGGAAAGCCTGCAAGATCTGTTGATTTGCCTGACCATGAGAAAGAAGCTATACAACATCTTTATCTGCTCACTATGAAGCCAGTCATTTATGTTGCTAATGTAACAGAGTCTGATCTTGCCGACCCTGATAAAAATCCCCATGTCCAAGAGGTGGCCAAACTAGCATCAGAGTTGCAATCTGGCATGGTTACAATATCAGCTCAGGTTTGTGATAAGTGATACTATATGCATCGGCCTAGGCATTAGGCAATTCACCTAATTTATTATCTATGTAAGCTAATAACATTGTGGAGTGCACCAGGTTGAGGCTGAACTGTCTGAACTACCACTAGAAGAGAGAGTTGAATACCTAAATTCTCTTGATGTTGCTGAAAGTGGGCTAGGCAACTTGGTAAAAGCAACATATAACCTTTTGGGACTAAGAACTTATTTCACTACCGGAGAGCAGGTGAATCTCTTCTGCTGTTAAGACACTTTGTTCTTCAGCTGTTGATCCTAACTTCCAAATCTTTTTTTTTTCTCTTTGTCAGGAAACAAAAGCTTGGACCATTATTGCAGGTTTTATTCGCATTCTCACAATGCTGTTATTGTATTATTTCAATTACCGTGGGAACTGCCTTCATTTTTTGGCACTGTGTGGACAAAGTTTTGACTATGTTTTGTCTTGGATGTAATTTTTATAGGCATGACTGCACCTCAAGCAGCCGGAGTTATTCATAGCGACTTCCAGAAAGGCTTCATTAGAGCTGAAACTGTAAGTATCAGGGTTCTGTGCTAATACTAAGATAGCTGCATGTTCTTTTCATGTAATATACCCGGTGTTACTTTAATAATTTGGCAACGGTCACATACCATGACTCAGGTATCTTACGATGATTTTGTTGCGGCGGGTTCCCTTGGAGCAGCAAGGGAGAAGGGAGTGGTAACAATATGTGCACTTATATGAACAAATGTTAGTGTTAGAGATAAAGCACACAAGGAAACGTATTTATTTCTTGTCCTCTCTGTGACTGCAGATGAGGTTGGAAGGGAAGGAATATATTGTGCAGGAAGGAGATGTCATGCTCTTCCGGTTCAATGTGTGACAACAATACTGTGCAAGAAGTTTCAAGCTTTATTCAACTCGAATTTCATACGAACTTACAAGGCAAGACAAAATTTGGATAGGCCATCAGAATTTGTCTTTGAGGCATCAATTGTCCATTTAATCGGCATCGTTGCATTTTCGGAGGAAAATGCAATCATTTTATTCTATGTAACATATGCAGATACTTGATAGCTCTGCATCATAACTTGGATCCTTAGTGAGTTTTGTAAATCACTCCAATAAACTTTGCCTGTTATATTATGAGCAATAATATGTAGTAATCCCTTTTTGAAGTAACAAACGGTAGGAGAGTGTCCTACTGCAATATATGAAGACAAAAGTTATCTGCAAATCATTTATAGTATTATGTAATCCCAGGAGGGACCCAGGAGTCTACAACTCCAATATACTCCAACATTTGAAATTCTAATTATTATTATTTTGTGAGTGTGAAATTCTGAATTAATCCCAGGAGTACCCCCTAAATGACTTCGGTGTGCTTAAAGTTACCTCTAAGATTGCCTCATTTTATGTTACTTGAAAATTGTCGTCGTCGAGGCCATTTACATTTTATAACCTTTTCTCATGTATAGAAGGACAGCATGTGCTAATTATGCCAACAAAATAGATATCTTAGTAAAGAAAATATGCAATCTATTTTGGAGTACCTCACTATCACAGTATATTCGAAGAGAGATAAATTGGTACAACACACACATATATATAAGTGATACATGAGAAGTGGGAACACATACACCATAGCAGAAAATATCTTTTGTGCCACGGGCGCGTGGGACGGGCCTAGGTGAGAAATCGCCATGTTGCTTGGTTGCTGGCATTGTGAATGCCTCTTCTCATCTTACCACATTGATTTGATATCACAATATGAATACACATCATC